AGCACAATTTATAGAATGTTTGGCATGTTCTTTTGTGGAGGCTAGGGCTCTATAAACTGACATCAAGTCATGAGAAAGGAAAATATATTGTTATAGCCACTTAATTACAAATAGCAAATTGGAATAACTGCATTCTGCATGGATTTTGAAATGTGATTTATTTATTACAAGACTCATTTACTATTATTATTGTGGTATGGCAGCACTACTATAGTTAAGCTTGCACCATGACATCTATTTAAAGGTGGACCTTTTTAAGTCCTCTAAAATCAACATGCTTAGTCAGATTTCTTTGAAATTTAGTGTGCCTCAAGAATATGCAGGTAGGGCTAATGACCCAAATTTGGACTCATTTAAGCCCAGAGTTCCAGAAATATAAGCCTTGAAAAAAATACCCATTTTAAAAAAGAAAGTGTCTAGGTGGATTTTTTCCCCCCGAGCTAAAGATCAAACTACTGATGTGGTGCAGGTCAAAATGATCTCAGTCTGTTGAGGTTTACCCAAGGTAGTACATGGCACTCACTAAATCTCTGGGGGACACAAATTGAGAACAGTATTTAAGAAAATGTACATTTTGAGAACTGTTCATGCTCCAATGCAGAAAAATGGCTAGACGGTTTCTATTCCCAACATTTTATATGCTTTAAAGTTCAGCTCCTGTAAGTGCTCTAAAATCCGAACATTTATTCAGATTGCTTTGAAATGTGGTGAAAGGGTGTGTCTCACAGGATCACTGAGTAGCATTAGTGATTCAAATTTGGGGTCATCTAACCTAGGGTTCCCGAATTACAGCCAATCCCCCCACCCAACCCAGTTTACTTCTGCTGCCTTGTACTGTTACAGTGAGAGGGTCTGACTGGATGAATCACAGACCTTTTGAGGGCTGTGAACTCACCCTTCAATTAAAATAACTAAGGATAAGTTAATCACAAGCCCGCACATAAGGGCTTGGCTATACTTGCGAGTTAGAGCACATTAAAGCAGCCCTGGGCGCCCTAACTCATGACCCGTCCACACTGGCAAGGCACTTAGAGCGCTCTGACTCCGTGGCTAAAGCGCTCCTGGTAATCCACCTCGGCGAGAAGCATAACGCTTGGTGTACCTTGGGTGAAACGCCTGGACATCAGTGTGAATGAGGTGTTGCATTACTGCGCTCTGATTGGCCTCTGGACATCCCATAATCCCCTTAAGTCAAGTGGCCACTCTTGTCATTGTTTTGGAATCACTGCAGGAATGTGGCTATCAAAGCAAACCATTACTGTGGAATGCTGTGTGTGAGAGAGCGAGGCGGGGGGGGCGGGAAGGGGAGATCTGCTGCTCTCTGAACTTACAAGACAGTATGCTGGCATGCTCTCAGCTCCCAAAAAACCCACACTCTCTCCCCCCACATACACACAACACACTCCCTGTCACACTCCACCCCACCC